GCCAGCTATGCTGGCTGGGGAATTCTGGGAGTTGAAGTCCACTCATCTTAAAGTGGCCAAGTTTGGACAACACTGCCTTAACACATCTGCAGAGCACCATGTTGGAGAAAGTGATGTAGCTGATGGTGGCATACTAGTGACTTTGAGTTAACATTAAAATGCGAATTAGGTCATATATTTTGATGCCTACCCAGAAACTTGACATTTGGCATATAGGCAGTCAAAATGCTTGGATATTGCCATCAGTCCCAAGCCTTCTGAGGACATCAGTTAGACATCGGTTGGACAGGTTTGATATACAAGTGATTACAATAATTTCTTAGTGGGTGGATGGCATGCACTCGCTAAGGGTCATAAACAATTTTAATGAGGTCTTCCTTGATGACTTTTTACAGAGAATGATACCAGTGATAAATCTGTGGGTCTCTAAGGTGCCACGGTATTCTTACATATTTTTGCTGTAGCGGTGGCACCTTTGAAATTCTCTTATGTTGAATAAGAGTTATGTTCTTGTTTCAAACCCCAAGATTTCCCAGCTCATCCTTTACCTTGAAAGTTTTTGGAAAAAGGGGGTCAGGGGTGTCCACAGGGATCTAAGCACTGCCCCCTTTTTGCAATGCAGGTAAAAAGGGCGAGGCTTTGATCACATGGTTGTGGCTGCCACCTTAACTCCCCCCCCCCCGTGGACACCCCTGAAGAGGGTTCTGAAACATAATTGCAACACTGACAAAGACGACAAAGAAAGAAGTATTCAAAAATGCCAACTCACTGTAGCTTTGCATCTTTTTCTGTATTCATAGTCCAATACAGACAGTCCTCTACTTACAAACTTTCAAGTTACAAACTTTCGCCGTTAGAAACAAACCTCCAACAACTCCAACAGTGAAGGTCCCGGAAGGAAGGTCCTGGAAGTTTATGGAGCACATGCGTACGTGGAGTGCCATATGCGTACATCAGATGTTTACGGCGTACATGCATACGTATGTGGCGTACTGTAAATTTTCAGGTGTACGTATATGGTGTGCCATGGTGGGACTTACGAACCAAATGGGCTTATGAACAGCTTCTTGGAACATAACCAGTTCGTAAGTAGAGAACTGTCTGTAAATGCAAGTCAGTGATGCAAAGCTGTAGGTGTTGTAGTTAAGAAGAGTCCCAAAACGTGCAAGGACAAACAGGCTTTGCATTAGTATATTAGCTGCTTTTTATTTTTTCTGAAGAAACTGATACTTAAGGAGTACTTACTCATGTAAACAAGGGTGCTCATTTTCTGTTGTTTTTTCTTCAACATCTCTTATTGTCTGCAATGAAAAGGATGTTTAAGATGTGGAGGATATGGGCAAATCTAAACAGAGTCCAGGGTCTAGTATTCCCTGATTGCATTATTGAGGACTTGAACTTCAGTGTGTCTCTGATGTGGTTTTCTCAACCTTAGCCACTTTAAGATGAGCGGGCAGCAACTCTCAGCTGGCTGGGGAATTCTGGGAGTTGAAGTCTGCTCATCATTAAGTTGCTAAGGTTGAGAAACAGTGCTCTAATGAAACTCAACTTGGTACACTAATCTGTGACTCACAATAGTATCCTGGTAGAATGTAGGTCCTCCCGTGATGCCACTCTTCCCACACTCGGATGGACATCAGATGAGCACCAGTCTTGCTCAACGGAGAAACGAAAAGACTTTCAGATTCCAAATATAAGATTTAACAGGAAGAGCTGCATGTCTTGGGAGAGATTTAGAGACAGGAAATGTTCACTTAAGATGGTCGTCATAATAAAACAACAAAACAGAAGATCTTGGGAGACAGGATTGACCGGAAGACTTGAATTTTATGCTTATTTTCATTTGTGTTTATTTCCGTTAAACAGCTTTGCTGGAAAGTAGCAACATCAAAGGTACAATTGCCTGGCAATCTCTAGGTGGCCTTCAGCCTTGGCAAAAAAACCACACAGCCAATAACAACAACAACAGCACAACAACAATAACAACAAAGAATGGCTGTTTGTTGAATAGGATTTGGGGCTCTGAGATGCCCCAAAAGCTAAAACAGCTCCTTTTATGAGTACGGAGGGTACCACAACATTTAAAGCTTTTAGCTTAGAGAAAAAAAGAATGTCTTGCATGTCATGGAAAATATGGACAGGGAAGGTTTTTTCCCCTTCATCTCTCACCACAGCAGATCTTGGGATCACTGATTAAAATTAAACCCAGAATTAAATTGGGGGAGTTGCCACCATCAGAGTTGATGATAGCCATGTATTTAGAGTTTTCAAAGGCTCCAGTGAAATGCATGGAGGACAAAGCTAGCCATGGCTTCTAGTCCGGATGGTCCTTTGCTACCTTTGGAATCACAAGCACCTGTCCTTAAATACCAGCTGTTGGGAGTAAGCAAGGAGAAAGGCCATCACTCTTTCATAGGACACACTTGAGTTGCAGAATTTGTTGCCATTAGAGATAGGGATGGCCACCAATTTAGATGCCTCAACGCCTGGACTACTTCATGGAGGATTGGGCTTTTCCCAACTGTAGACTTCTCTCTGAATTGTGGGCAGCTTCTTGTACATACCAGGTCCTGAGGGCAACAGTAATTTGCTTCCTCCCCTGTTCAGGAACTTTCAAATGCTTCTGGTAAACCATGGTCCAAGAAGGTTGGACTAGACTCTTGACACATCTTGCATGTGGCCCAGATGGGCAGGAAGTATAATCAGTCAGGTTTTAATGGCTGTTCGAAACCAACCAATGAAGAACTAGGGGTGCTTGGCATGCCCCCCCCCAGTGTTTATAGATTTGGGGAAGGGGATGAATTAATTATAGGTTTATGCATTTATATTGTAGTTCTCTTTGGCCTAAAGGACATAATAAAGGCTTTGATTTGAACTGGATGGGGAATCACTTGGTCACTACATGAATGCATTTTCTGGGATCAATGTACTGGAAAAATAAACTAACTAAATGATCTAGGTTTATTGCATAACACACACATATATGCCCAAACCATTGTGGGAATGTAGCTGCTAAGTTTGTAATTGACCTGGCTGAACCTGTTGAGTCTTTTCAATAAAAGAGACAGTATACAAGATGGGAGTATCAGTTACAAAAATTCATAGCTCCTTTCTCTGATGAAGGAAATCCATTTCTGCTCACTTCTCCCCAGCCAACCCTATGCCTCCTACAGAAAAAAATGTGCGTGCTGTGGTTTCAGTTCTGGAGCAAAGCTATTGAGTCAGGGGCATCCTTACAGCCAAATGTCCAGATTCTTGCAGTCCAGAAGAAACCCTAAGTTGGTGGTGGGTTGGCAAACAAGAGTGGAGTACAAGTAGGGCAAGCAAGCAGGAGAGATTGTGTGGGCCAAGTAGAAGGTAGCTGCAGTCAGACAAAGAAGGAGACAGAAAATACCTCCCTTACCCATCTTACCACACTGCAGTGCCTCTCCAGAAAAACTCATGGGTCTAGGAGGAGGTCTTATATGCAGAAATAGAAAGTTTGAACTCTTCTTAGCTGTGGAACAGCATGGAGTAGCCTTGAGAAGTTCACAGTCCTTATGTCCTAGTTGATAGGCAACACGTCTCTTTCACTCTTATACGTTGGAGAGTGACAGTTCAGACGTGGGGGGGGGGGGACTTATTTATTTATTTATTTAT